TGAATATCTGCAGAAGGTGTGTTGATTTTGGCATGATTTATTTGTCTTTTAAAAACAACCATCTTTTTAAAAAAAACCTCACAAGCTGGAAGGAACATCTTGAGGTGAATTACAGCAAGACAAAAAGTAATGGTATTCTCAAAATGTTGCAGACTCAGTAAATGCTCTTTGGATGGGCAACCAATTGAACAGGTCAAAATCTTCAAGTATTTAGGCATGATTTTCCAGGCATCAAGAACTGAATGTATAACTGAAGGAATTAATTTATACAAATAAATAAGTAAGCCAACATTTTTAATAATAAAAAATGAGCATTCAAATGAAAATAATTCCCCCCCTAATACATGCCTATGAAGTCAGGATAAAAATAGTGTCCTACATGAGCAGTTTATTGTAAGGATTACTGAAATAATGTGTGCAAAGTGCTTTGAACAGTTTGAAATATGCTACATAAATTCTAAGCATCACGATGATTAGGAATAGTGTGCTTGGGAGCAAACCCTCTGAGCATTAATGGTGATTTTACTGGTATTTGCAAGTAAATGTATTTAGAATTGGGGTATAATGCACTAATGACTGGATATTTAAATGAAATATGTTTTCAATAAGAGTGGACCCTGAGAGACAGTGGCTTGATGGAAAGCTGCAGTACAACTGAAAGAAGTTAGTGGGAAATAGTCCTCAGGCTGTAAATGCGTTAAACTCAAATGCAAGTGTTCCCAAGTGCATCTGTTGACTCACAGATTTTAATCCTAGTGTACACAATACATATTCACACAAATACCTCCAAAACCCTCACTGATTACCTTTCCATTTCACTGCATGTATAGTAATTCCATAGGTTTCAAGCACTGTGTGCCTCTCTCAACCAGGAGTGCCCTGAACAAAGAAATAAGTCCTCTCACCCATCCATATTTGGACCTTCATAATGGCAGAGCCGAAGAATTGATACTTTTGAACTGTGTTGCTGGAGGAGACTCTTGAGAGTCCCCTGGACTGCAAGGAGAACAAACCTATCCATTTTGAAGGAAATCAACCCTGAGGGCTCACTGGAAGGACAGATCCTGAAGCTGAGGCTCCAATACTTTGGCCATCTCATGAGAAGAGAAGACTCCCTGGAAAAGACCCTGATGCTGGGAAAGTGTGAAGGCAAGAGGAGAAGGGGACGACAGAGGTTGAGATGGCTGGACAGTGTCATCAAAGCTACCAACATGAACTTGACCCAACTCTGGGAGGCAGTGGAAGACAGGAGGGCCTGGCCTGCTCTGGTCCATGGGGTCACAAAGAGTCAGACGCGACTTAACGACTAAACAACAAATGGCAGAGCATGGAGGTATCTGGCTGAAAAGAGAACCTTTGTTTTGAATTAAATGGCCCTGCAGAATAGCATTTGGTACTCTGATGTTCCTAGGGTTTAGCAGATCTTCCTGCAAATTTGTGACATCAGCTTTCAATCTAGCACAGCTTCCCTTGCCTCTAAAAGCTACTCAAGTGTCAACCTTTTGATCATCATCCCTGACATGCTTCATTATAGACCAATGGTTAGAGAACTGGGCTACTGAACAAAACCAGGCGGTGTTTATTTTGTGCAAAATTTCCACACAAAAGGCACTTCTGCATAGGGATTCCACAGAAGATTAAAGGAAGCAACTTTACTTCAGTCACCTTAAGACAGTCACATAGTGTTGCAGCCACTGATTTTTGGAGTAGCCATGGGCCCTACAGGCAAATGGCTACTCCAAAAATGAAATCACAAGAGCCATCAAACCAAGAAAACAACACCGAACTGAAGAAGAAAAACAGCCACCCA